ATTTGCAGCAATTTTTTAGAAAATTTTGAAAATGTTCCAGGGTATTCATGGAAAGTACCTCCAAAAAATTAATGAATGATTTTCAGAATCGCAAAGCTTTGAGAGAGGGCAGATCGACCGGGGAATATTTAGTTCGGAAACAATCATATGCATGGTATAGGCGCTAGTTGTGTTAACAGTCGATATAGAGACAGAGAAACGGACAGCCGGACAGATAGATATACGTTTTTTCGAAATAACGTTTTTTCGGTATGAGGTGACCCCAAAAAGTGTATTTCCGTTGAAATCTCGACATTTTCGAAAGTAATTCTTTTTGGTAGCCTGCATGTTTTTGTCAGTTCTAGAGCTAGATAACTCCCCCCCTCCTCTCCGAAAAAAAATTAAGAACGTGAAAGTTGTATCAAGAAACGATTTGAGTTATTTTATTTGAACAAATAACAAAAGTTATAACATTTAAGATAGAAAAAGAATAAAGCAAATAATATATTTTAAATAATAGATTTAAGTAAAGGTATTAAGTGATCAAATAATACAATTTCTAAGGTGAGCTTAAAACGCTTAATTTGTTTGTTGTGTTCAGTTAGTGTTTAATAAAATCACTTGTTAAATATATGAAACAATGAGTATGAATTCCAGTAGAACGTATTTTAATGTTAGCGTCGTTCGCCATTCATTTCAGAGTCCTGCCTGATACGTAACTTTTATTATTATTATTATTATTATTATTATTATTATTATTATTATTATTATTAGCACGTTAATCCCTAATCCCTCTTGCACAGAGCAAGGAGGCTTACATTAAAAAGTTTTCTCGAGTAGCCACCTTGAGGACCTTACGTGATAACCTTAAGTGTTCCGTAACAACTACAATTAACCATTTAATGTAAAAAATTAATTTTAATTTAATTTTAAAGTAAAAATTAAATTTGATGAAATATGAGACCACAGTAGCACGACTTATAAAAAATTACGGCAAGGGTTTTCTTGAGATGTAATTTCTTTTCCATTTTCCTCGTAATTCGCATCGCATCAGCCGAGCGCACAGGTGCTTTGTCCGCCGTTTGCGCGCTCGGCCCACCGCGCGAGGCGGCAGGGCGTCA